TATACCGTAAACTTCCGAATATAAGCTCCCCCGAATATAAGCCCCCCCCCGTCTATAAGCCCATCAAATTACTAACGTTCACACCATTCCGTATATAAGCCCCCTCGAATATAAGCCCCACGAATATAAGCCCACCCCTACATAAGCCCACCCGTATATAAGCCCATCACACTATAATACCGGTAAATTACACAAAAAATCCACTACATTGCATTAAATTTCAACTAAGACTACGTCTACGGTATGTATTTATTTAAACAAAGGTTACTGATGCCTCTTCTGAATCTGATTCTTCAAGTACTGTCAGTGATACAGACGGCTAAGACTGTTAACATACCTGGTATCGGCTATGAGGACGTTTTATAAGACATGGATGGCCCACAAAAACCGCGTTCATATAGAAACTATAGAAACTATACTATAATCGCGTCTCGTTGATGACAGTCAGTGTTCTATTATTTTTTGTTTAAAATTGCTAAAATTTAACAATAAACAGCGTGTTTTCTTACTATTAACCTAAGATGTGGTCCGTGTATATTAAGCCCCCCCCCCCCGTATATAAGCCCCCCTCCCCATGTATAAGCCCATCAAAAAAGGCTTATGAAATTATATAAGCCCAGGGCTTATATTCGGAAGTTTACGGTACCCTACTAAATTCAATGCCCCGTGATCATGCAATGCCCCGAGTGATCATATTGGACAGAGAGGGGTGGTAAGAGAAACCTACTGTAGTTATTATAGACATAGTATTAATTATTAAACGCATAGTAAGCTAACACAATTGTTCTTTGTTGTGCTGGAGGGAGGGGGTTAGTAGAAAGGGGAGTTTATTTGTGCGGAGGGATTAACAGAGCTTAGCCTTTAGGCGTTTGGAAACTATTAAACAAGCTGACCTCAGCCTCAGGCCGCTCAGAGGCCGAAACCCACTTGTTTATTTATTAAACCATGTCCATGTCGCTAATACCTGGCGAAGGCCGGATTTGAAATACTCGATTAAACATGCACAGGAATTATCTGACTGTGTAGTGCTACCTGCTGAAGCCAGTAGCTGGCAGTGGCTGGAGCACTCGTAAATTGATCTAATATTCTAATCCAGTTGTGTTCGTGCACTGCCACTCGAGCTACCTGTCAGACCGGCGCGCTGGAAAGCGCTGTAGAATAAATACATACATGCCGACAAGCAGTTGATCAATTATCTATCCCGTCAATAATGAACTACAGTTGATGATTAGTCAGTATTAAACGGCATAATTAAACGGACTTTTCTTCTCAGTGAATTTTTTTTCAGTTTTGATATACAGAATAATATATAGGACCTTAGGTAAATTTTGTCCACGGGCTTGGAGCCTTGGAGTGAAAATTGGCGGGAACTGTGTGTCCAATGAATGAGCGACGAAGCTAGAACACATACCATATAAGGAAGTAAACGTTCCCAATTTGTAAATATTGACCAATCACAGAACTGCGTGGTTTTAGAAGAGTTTTCCTTTTGCCTTGCTTCATTGTTGTTCTTCATAGACTTTGCAGCAGTTTTTGTGCTCGTTTTCTTAGTCATTTCTAACAGAAAAATAATAGACAATTTGATAAAATGCCAGCTGAAGAAGAAACAACAACTGTTACAGTGTCTGCCACCACACCAGATTCGATGGTTAAAGAACCAACAAATGCTGAAACTGAAAAGTCACCCACGGCCGAACCTATCGAAAAAACCACCGAAACAACAGAGAACGAAGAAACTCGTGAAGAAGCAAAGGAAAATGAAGCCGAGCGAGAAGGAAGTAAAAGCAAGGAGGATGAAAACAAGGAAAATGTGCAACAAAACGATTCAAAAGTTGAGAAAAAGGAAACTGACGCTGTCGAAACCAAAGGAAAAGCCGAAGCCGATGGACAGACAGAAGGCATTGTACTGAGGAAAAGACAAACCCCAGACAAGAAAGACAGCAAAGATGAAGACGTTAGTCCACCAAAAAAAGTAAAATAAGCGAAATAAATGCAGAAATTTGAACGTTCGTACCAATTCAGTTTCAATAAATAAGAGAATATAGTCTATATATGATCAAGTTGAATTTTTATATAATTTTTGTACCTTTATAATACTAATTGTTTGCGGCTCCCTTGAGCTTGTAATTCTTGGCGTCGCCGAGACTCGAGACATTGGTTGGACGTTTTATAATTGTGAATTATGCTAAATATATAGAAGTGTTAACAATAAAAACAATTGTGTTCTACGTTGATGGTTTTATCCGATATGAATGAGTTTCAACGCGGAGTTCGTCGGCTTTAAACAATGTTTGTTGCCAAAGATAAAAGCTGATAAAGTATTATAAAAAACGACAATAGAAAACTTTGAATATTCCTTAAACTGTTAAAATAACTCGTTCCTACCTATTTCTAAAACCTAGAAACGCCGATTGTTACACATCCATTTCAAAAAGACACAGTGAGATATTAGGCACACAAATTAGCGAAAATTTCCGCGGTAAAATGGACAAAAAGCTTCAAAAACACCCGACAAATCGGAGTTGCATATGTTAATACCCCGTTATCGCAAAACTTCAAAGAGAATCGTTTTATTTTAACAAATTAAGAGACATATAAGCGCCTACCGTCCGCAGCTGCTTTTGTTAGCGTACGCTGTCAACTATAGGCTAAGGTAATTTTTTCACGCTCTAAATCCAAGTAGTTTTGGGTTATAATCCCTTTCATATCCTGTTCCAATTTTTTTCGGCATCAATTTTCATTTGGTAACTATCAAAACAGCGGGGTTCAAGTTTAATTACGTCCAATCGGGAGTAAACAGAGGAGTGGGCCAATAAAAGGGATTCGATTTAATTAGTTGTCAGCGAAATTGATGAATCTAAAACAAGAATTGACCGGAAAGAGACATATCGTGTGGCTCAGATCTCAAATTTGGGCAAGCAAAGAGACACTTTACATCTTGTGAATGTATTAAACCTGGTGTGTAGTGTTTTGCTAAGTAGGGTTTTTTTTAATTGTGCGGAAAATGCTGCACTCGAGTGTGTATATTGCCATCTTCCTACTTGTAAACTTAAACTACTTGATCGAATGCGGTGGAAGGCGGCAGACTGCGTGTCCAAAAGAATTAAATGCTTTCTCCGTTCCAAACACCACTGGCAACGGTAAGTTATGTCTATTTTATATTTTCATTTGGTCGTTTCGCGTGTTTTGTTTCAACAATGATAAACTTATTGATGTTTGTCTAAATCAAGTGTTATTGTTGTTATTCTTGACAGCTTCTTCTGATACGCGGCCCGATATATGTTCAAGCAATACTAGTTGTTGTAATAAAAGCATCGAAGATGAAATGAAAACGCAAATTACTAAGAGATTAATGAATCTTATCCATGGGCGAAATGAGAGAGTGAGACGGCAATTCAAAGATGTGTATGATGACTTAAAAGGTATGAACATCCAATGTATGAGCTAGAAAGCTAGGGTATTCTGTTTGTTGGCACACAAATCAAAACGAACGACCTTGAAAGCAGCAGGAGCCACGGTGAATTTATTATGAAAATTCTCTGGCAATTCTAAAACCCTTGGACTTCCTAAACTTCTCAGCAAGTATTTATTTACAAAGCTGCTGCTATGCTAACTTTCTCAAGGGGAATATAAATGACAATAGCTGAAATCTCGCATTTTATACTATAATTTAAGGTTTTCGGGCCATATGGGCATAATTTAGTTGGAATGTTTATAATGAACAATTCCTGCATTATTGAAAAAATATGTTTTTTAAAAGCTACGCTGTTCTAGATAAAGTTTGCAAAACAAACGACTCATCGCCTTTGGTTTTGCTAGAATGTGCCATAATGGGTCCAGTTTATCGATATATTTATGTTTAGGTGATATCGGAGAGACTGTTTAATAACGCATGTCTAATGCCCGCTGTTTTCAAGAGCTTGTTTGCAATTTTTAAAAACAAAACATCATTGTATATCCGGTCATTGAATGATCTTCTTAAAAGATAAGTTTAGTTGCGATGGAATATTCGTACAATTTCATTACATTCAGGCAGTTAGTTAGCAGCATGTGAACCTTTGCTTTCGATCATGGTAATTCGAGTATGAGTAATCGAAAAAACATGACATGTCTGGCGCTTCTTGCCGGACAAGGAAAGTTTATTTTAAACCATTCATATGCGCCGTGGCGGCGACTCCAGTAACATGTTAATAACAGCATTAGCGATAAGATATGTCCTTAGCATTTCAAGGAGCTTAGCTGACACTAAAAGCCTTGAAGACATTTGGCCGCTATTAAACACATACTTTAAATAATTTCTTTAAACACGAGTTACACGAGTCTGGTGTATTAAATTACCAACTGGTATGTATTGTGTTGTTTGACCAAGTGTTATACATAATAACATATATATAATGTAATAGAAGCTTATATGATTCTGATATTTACTATAACATTTGCTAAATACATGTTCAAATATAATGTACTACAACTACAAGTAGTCGATTTATTCTGTCTGGACTTTGTTTATTGCAAAATACAAATTTCACTGTGAAATGTGACGTATTTTTGTAGTTCAGAATTAGATAAACATTACAGAATATTTCCTTCAATCTATGAAGCTGTAAATAATCAACATCGGGTACTACAACAAAACAGGGATGGGTATCAGTATAAGAAGATTTTTTCAGAAAATGTAAAATCTTCTTAATTCTTATATATAATAAGAAGATTTAAGGGAATATAAGAAGATTTTTGACAATGACCTTATGACATTTTGGTGATTTGTATGATATTTGTATGAAGTATTGAAGTGTCAAGAAGTTGTGATACAAATCTATTTGTATCAAATCTATTACTAAATTAACCCATTGAGCCCCAGTGCACGTGCCCTACTTACTCGATTTCTTTTTCAAAGCTATAGAAAATAAAATAATATAAGAAGATATACGAAGAAATTTGGTCAAAAACAAAATCTTCTTATAATATATTAGAAGAAATAATATAAGAAGATTTGCCATCCTTGCAACAAAGCAACCTTCACATCAGATTTAATTTCTTTTCACAAAGTTAAAGGTATAAAAGAAAGGAAATCTGTGGGTTGGGTATTTCCTGCTTCAAATAAAGTTGTCTGCATGGCAATGTTATATATATTCCAAAATAAATACCTCACCCTTGCATGAATGTAGCATTGGGATGACTCTATTATTCCATTTTATTTTTGAACCTTACAGAGCATTCATTCAGTAATACTTTAATCTATAAATGCACCTTAATAGTGTATACCTCTTGAAGAGGGAACATGTTGGGTTGTTTATGCCTCTGTTAATGCAAATCCCCCCTTTGCACTCTGTTTTTATTTTACTCTGTCCAACACCAGGCGAATTTGCATATCAAGTAAAAATGTTGGGTCATTAATTGTGGGTTAAAACTCTAAATATCAGCAATGCTCAAAAGAAAAGGCCTGCTGCACCAAACACTAACTAAATTTGATGTGTGTTAAGTACCTGAAGCAATGGCTTTATAATATTATATGCCAAATTGTGTGGCCGTGATTTTGAAAATTTTGTAGTAAATATATATATATATATATATAGAAAGCATCAAAATTGAGCACCCAATATCTTGGTTGCGTGATACAAACTTTCCACAATGGAATCATGTGCACAGTATTTCTAGTTATGCTGCAGCAAGGCACAGCTGGGAAAATGTAGGTTCTGTTTTTCTGTGAGTCACATAAGGAAGTATGGTCAATTTTCTGAACAAGTCAGATAAGACCAAAAATGATGTCATTTCAGCACATCTTCCCATATTAAGTTACACATATCAAGCATTATCTGATCCCAATAGACAATTGTTTGACTAAAAGAGTTCAACCTTTTGACCCCAATAAACAATTATTTGACTGAAAAAGTTGAGCTTATCTGACCCAAATAAACAATTATTGTTTGACTTTGAGGAAGTTAATTACTTAGTTCCTAGAAACTGCATCCTAGAAACTGCATTATGCAAATAACTGGTGTAACCTGCAAAATGCCTCAAGGCCACCTGCACCACTCTTTGATATTTACATGTAACAATTATTGAATGAGGTTGAACATGATTCTTCATATCTTGCAAAACCAAATTCAATAATTGTTTTATTATTTATTTAAAAAGGGAAAAGACATCTGCATCTGTGGGTTAAATTGTCAAAATAATGACCAGTTCTTTTTCTCACTTGCAGAAAATCGTTCCTTTTTTAAGTTTGTTAAGATGTTTCAAAATCTTTAATTTAGTAGGTGTTTTCATTGATATTTCTTCTTTGTCTTTGATATTTTAATTATTAGTTGTTTCCTTTAAACCTGCGCGAACACGGCTGAAGGTGGCACCATATTGTTTTGGTCATGTTTCAACATTTCACATTCATATTTGACAGCATGACTTCATAACATAAGATATGTATGCTTCATAACCATCAATGATCATAACATTGAATGCGATTTTCATAACATGGCATCATAACCTTGGATATGATTTTTCATATTAATTAACATTATGTCACAACATTGCATATTATGTCAAAAATCCATATTGGGCTATTCCAAATATTATCTGCACCCCCCTGTTGAGGAACCATGGAATTTCCAGGGGAGGGGGTGTATTACCCTTGGAATTTCCAGGGGAGGGGTGTATTAACCTTGGAATTTCCAGGGGAGAGGTACATTAACTTTAAATTTCCAGGGGAGGGAATACATTAACCCTGGAATTTCCAGGGGAGGGGGTGCATTAACCCTGGAATTTCCAAGGAAGGGGGCATTCAGGCTCTGGATTTCCAAGGGGAGGAGTAATTCTCACATGGAATTTCCAAAGGGAGGGGTAAATTTGATGGGATGGAAATTCCATGGGAGGACATATGTTAGAGGGAAATGTCCAGACGTAAATGTCCCATAATGGAAATTCCATAGGGAGGGGTAATTTACACATGGAAATTCCATGGACAGGGCCTAATTTAAAATGGAAATTCCATGGGGAAGGGTAATTTTTACAAGGAAATTCCATGGGAAGGGGTAAATTTTAGATGAAAATTTGCGGAAATTCCAGGGGAGTACCGACATGAGAAAGGGGTTCCTCAACAGGGGGGGTGCGGATAATAATTGGAATAGCCCATTTGGTCAGCTATTGAGATGATATGACGATTTCACAGTTAAGTTGGCCATGAATCTTTTAAAGAAATAATAAAAATCATTACTTGCTCCCTCGATTATACACCAAAATGCAAGACCTGTTTGGACGCAAAAGTGAACTTAGCGCATCTTTGATTCTTTGGGCATTATTGCCATAGAACAAGTCGCAACACATCTCAATTCTGTAACATTTATCGTGGTTTTAGACAGGGATAGTACTGACATGGAGCTCTGGTTGTTAGGGAGATGCTCAGATGCAAATCTGAAATCTGAGACTGAATACATAAAATTCCATAGTGAACCAAGTGAACACACGGAGTGTGGTGTTCGAACTCGCTGCTGACACTGTGACAACTCTCTGCATGGAAACGTCATGTAAACCGCTGCAAAGAGCCAGTGTGTTGTGTGTACAGATTAAATACACCCTTTCGGAAAGTATTTTGCCTTGGCTATTGAACCTCATTGAGTCCATATTAGACATACTTGGTTGACAGGTCCGTAATTAGCTATGCCTATGAAGAAATTTCGTGAAACGATTTAAAACTGGAAGACTTCAAGTCAGAAACAAAAGAAGTCAGATACTGAATGGAATTTATTCAATTTGTGAAGTATTGGTTAGCGTCCCAAATATTACCAAAAACACTTTTTTTTATGTACTAATGTGGAAAAACATGGAGAGGCCAAAACCTAACGGGAAAAACTAGAATTAAATTGACAAGAAAGAAAGTTCTTTTGGTCATTTACTTCAATGTTTTTAAAGTTTGTTCGTTCACTGCAACCAGGTATATCAATCATGTTTCGCTCGCTACTCTGGTTTAAATAAATTATTACAAAGCCCAGTCGAATTGTAATCAAGACCCAACGTTTCTACACTCCAGTCTAGTGTCTTCATCAGGGGTGATCTAAAACTGCGATCGTGGCTTCTTAAATACCCAAGGGATGACGTCACCTGCCATGAGATGCATGTATTCCATTGGCAAATAGGCACCGTCATCCTTATCCAAAGCATGATTACTCATATTTATATGCCACGCTTCTAGGCATAGTCTTTGACCATAGCGATTGTTTGTGGTAATTACTTTAGAGTTTTCTCACGCAACCTTTTGATGTTGTGTGACACCAAACACAAGATTGCGTGGGAAAACTCTAAAGTAATTATCACAAACAATCGCTATGGTCAAAGACTATGCCTAGAAACGTGGCAAATAAATATGAGTAATCATGCTTTGGATAGGAATGACGGTGCCTATTTGCCAATGGAATACATGCATCTCATTGGCAGGTGACGTTATACCTTGGGTATTTAAGAAGCCACGATTGCAACTTTAGATCACCCCTGATGAAGACACTAGACTGGAGTGTCGAAACGTTGGGTCTTGATTACAATTCGACTGGGCTTTGTAATCATTTATTTAAACCAGAGTAGCGAGCGAAACATGGTTACTTCAATGTCGTTGTAGTACAACATTCTTTCGGCTATTCTTCGAAATTTGTTTCAAAATATACAAAGAGAAATTTTAAAATTCATATTGATATAGTCGCAGCTATAAAAGGGCCTGAAAGGTACATTTTTTTATAAAGGTAGAGTGCTTCAGGCTCCAAATATACCCTTCTTTATATCTTTTGGAGATTTACTCATCAAAACGCAATAGTACAATATTGCCTCAATAGTATCACTACCTAATTTAAATTCTGATTGGTTATGAGCAGTGTAAGCTTAATGAAATGTGTTGTTAAAGAATATATAATCGGGATTTACCTATAATGACATATGCGCACATCTTAAAGCACGGGAATTTATAATTTTACAGTTCTAGCTACAACGGCAAAAAACTATGAACAGCCGTTGTAGACAAAGGCGGGAGAAGAACAAATTGAGAATGTTTGATTAGCATTTACTGCGCGGGTTCATGCGCGGACCGTAAAATTGTTGCAGACCGTACGTAAATCTTTTTACAGGCCATTAACCAAGTCTGACGATCTATACAAGTGTACAACTCGTCTTGCGAACCGCATCTGCCTACCTTGGGTTCTGCCGCCCGTGCAGGCGTAGCGAAGGAGGGGGTTTCTTTGGGGGCGGGAAAAATCTGCATGCTCATTTCGCATCAATTACCTATTTTGGTAACAAATTTGATGACACAGCATTGACCACGCCCCAACACGTCAAAACCACACCCATTCTGTCGGTAAAAGTAAAGGGTCTGTTCATTAGACCGCGAGCAGTCATAAACCCGCGGAAAGGAGGGCCCGCCCGCAGTCTATCTGTTCATATGAGCCGGGCATTTTTCCTAAATGTCATATCACTAACATATCACTAGATTGCATTGATATCGAAGGAACTAGACTCAGTTCCGAAATATCACATACAGTCGAACCTCTATTAAACGGCCACCCCCGAGGATCGGCTTTGTGGCCGCTTAATAAAGGTGGCCGCTAAATAGAGGTACGCAACTAATAGACCCTGGGCGTAGTCAAATTTATCTTTAATTCTCAGTTTCATCTACTATAATATTTTTTCACAGGCATACATTGTGCCAACAACACGAAGCCATCACACTATCATATTTCACACTAAACCTTTTGAACAAACACTTAGGGACTATTGTGCCATAAATTTATTACTAGGACACCAATATGGTTCTCACTACCTATATCTAAACCTAAAAATCCTGCAGGCTGGCCGCTTAATAGAGGTAAAAATTGACATAAAACATCATTTGGGACCGCTCTTTCGGTGGCCGCGGCCGCTTAATAGAGGTGGCCGTTTAACAGAGGGATAGTTTATAGTATTTGTATTACAAAAATTTGGGGACTTCCATATGTGGCCGTTTAATAGAGGGTGGCCGCTTAATGGAGGGCCGCTTAATAGAGGTTCGACTGTACTATCATATCACTAGATTGCATTGATATCGAAGGAACTAGACTCAGTTCCTTCCATAGTTCCTTCCAAATATCATATCACTAGATTGCATTGATATCGAAGGAACTAGACTCAGTTCCGAAATATCACATACTCGAACCGACCTGACCGCTTAGCTCAGTTGGCAGAGCATTGGGCTAGTATTCCAAAGGTCGTAGGTTCGATTCCCACCGTGGCCAGGCATATTCAGTCAAGCTTGTCCGGTGTGAATATACACTCAGAGTAACATCACAAACATCATATTCACCTGAGTACATTACACCAACACAGAAAAAATGTAAAAATTCATATTCGTCTTTTTTAGGTTTATTCCAAAGTGGCCTTGAAAAAACATCCAAAAGTGCTATAGAATCGTTAGAGTCTCAAGCAAAGAGAGGTATAGCTCAACGCACCAAACCTCTTATTCGTACGCTATTTGATGACCTGCGGACATCGGTAACCAATAAAGATCTACATGTGCAAAATTCCACCACAACGTTTTTCAGAAATTTTTATCCAATTGTTTACCAATACTCAGTCGTTGGACAAACACTTCCTGGAGAATTTGCTGAATGTTTGAAAAATAATGTGAATTTGATTATGCCTTTTAAAGATGTCCCGCAAACTCTGACAGCTTTTTTAATCAAGAAGTTACAACCTGTACAACAAGTCTTACGTAGTTTACAAACAATTGGTCATGTTTTGGATGTTATTGATAATGTCCAGCTTTCTAATGAGTGTACTTCTGCCTTGGTAAAAATGAGTTATTGTTCGTTGTGTGATGGTTTCAGTGATGTCAAACCTTGCCCAGAGTATTGCACTACTATTGTATCTTCCTGCTTGGAGCCTTACAGTCAGATTGAACACGAATGGAGTTCGTTTATTAACAAACTGGAAAATTTTCATAAACTTCTAGCCAAGTCGTTAGATGTATCTGCTATGTTTACAAAGTTACAGGCATTTCTTTCAGATTCAATTTCTCATGCAAGTCATTCAAAAGTTGCAACAAAGGTGAGAAATCATGACCGAGAATATGACTAGTATACATGTTCACTCCATGGCAGTCCCTAGCTTGTCAGCCAAAGCAAAGTTCCACTCAGTAGCAAACACTTCACAAAATATTGGCCGGGGAGGGGTGTTAGATTGCTGACATATGACCATTTTTATAGCTGAATATCTTAGTTATTTAATCTTTAAACCTTTTTGCCTTGCCTACCAATGCTTTTATGGTTACACAGTTATACAGTTTACCATTCAAAGGCTTTCAGAAATTATTGGCGGGGGGGGGGGGTTTACCCCTTCCTCGCCACTGATCCACCATACTAGTTTTCCCACATGTATCAACCGTAGGCAAGCAGTCGGATGACAACCCTTCAGAAAGCTCCCACTTACGATGTCTCAGAGCTCATAAGTCGTAATATAAGGGACCGGTCATAAAGTAAAAGGGGTGGTGGGCTGGGAAAATCATATATTTGGTGTCTGCACTTTTGGTAGCCCACCCCTTAATAGCTGCACGAAAATTTGTAGTCGACCCTTAAATTGGTGCTGAAAAATTATGACCCACCCCTTTTCCAATTTTTTCC